CAGCTCGCTGAGCATGCAACTTTTCGGGGTTAATAACCTGGGTTATAAGCTGCCTTCTATATTGTTTGCCCTGCTGGCTTTATATGCCACTTACCGCCTGGCGCGCCTGCTGTATGATGAGGCTACCGGGCGTGTAGCCGCGCTGATACTCGGTGTTTGCCAGGGGCTTTTTCTAATGACCAATGATGTACGTACCGATACCATCCTGATGGGTTGGGTGGTCACTGCATTATGGTGTATCAAAGAATGTGAGATCCGGCGGCGGTGGCAGTTTGTGCTGCTCGGCTGCCTGGCTATTGCCTGTGGGCTGATGACCAAGGGGCCTATTGCCCTGTTTGTACCTCTCTTTGCCTTTGGCAGTGATTGGGTCTTAAAACGGAAATGGAGAAACTTGTTCAGCCCCTGGCATCTTGTCGACGCCTGTATTATTGCCGCGCTGCTGATTCCGATGTCCATCGGCTTATATGAGCAGTTCGATCTGCATCCTGAAAAAATAATGGATGGCAAAACGGGGACTTCGGGGCTGCGTTTCTTTTTCTGGTCGCAGAGCTTCGGGCGGATTACGGGAGAAAGTGTATGGGATAACGGGGCTGATATGTCATTCCTGCTGGTGAATATGGCCTGGTCTTTTCTGCCCTGGATATTATTGTTTGTAACTGCCTTGTTCGTTAATGTAAGGCAGCTGATCCAGCAACGTTTCCGGCTGACGGAGCAGCAGGAGTGGATCAGTACCGGTGGTTTTATACTTACCTATCTTTCCCTGAGCCTGTCGCATTACCAGTTGCCCCACTATATTTTTGTTGCTTTTCCATTGGCGGCTATTATGGTCGCGGGGCTTTTTAAACAATTCTGGCTGTCGGAAAGGTTTGCCCGGTTACACCGGGTGTTCGCTGCTATCCAGGTTGGGGTGGTAACCGTTCTGGCCATTGGCGTATTACTGATCCTGGTGGTGGTATTTCCTGCCGGTTGGGTGGGTATCCTGTCGTGGCTGGCAATGGTGGCTATCCTGGTGGCGGTAGGGTGCAAACAACTAAGAGGAAAAATCCTCTGGCTGAGCGCCGTGGCTATGATCCTGGT